AAATATAAAACATAATGTGTAGTATACACACACACACGCACACACACACATATATTTTTTTTTACAAACACAAAATGACATTTTTTCACGCCCTTAAGCATATTGGGTGTAGAGTGCTAGGCTATATTTTATAGACCCATCGACACTCGGTGGATGATATGATCAACAGAATACAGGCCGCATTTACTTCCCAGGACTTTATTGGTACCCGTTTTTCTCTAGTCGGATTGCATGCCTTGTTTTTATTGGTTCCCCTAGTGTAGTGTATAGATCTATATATTTTCCCTTTCAGTTCTTAAATGTACACATTGTCCGGTTAAATTTTTTTCTTTCTCTCTAGTTGATTGAATGCCTTATGTGTGTGTTTTTTTAATTAATTCCCCTAGTGTAGTGTATAGATCTATATATTTTTCTGTCATATTAGGTTGGGTGCCAGTACTAACCAATCTGTAAAATCTAATGACGTCCACATATATAATTCTAAGTGTAAGTTATTTTTTTATTCCTAGATTTTTTTTTTAGAAAATGGAACACGTTTTTTTTTTTGTTGGAGAACCGAGGAGACGGTCGGGACACACAGAGGATGTTGATGACAATATGTCTTGATAGCAACAAGTATAAGGCAGCTACATATAATGAAAGACAGAATAGTTGTAGAACGTGCGTAACGCACCTTGAATAACCTGACCCACTCACTAATAGTGATACAAAACAGACGTATTATGTCCATATACAGAGTTAATGTCAATGGTATTCACTTGTGACAAGTAAATGCATCCAAATATCTAGGCACACAGATAGCATCAGAAAGGAGATTAAATACAGAGATAACAGGCACAATTTGACCTGCAAAAGTTGAATTTAATACTAAGAAAAACCCTGTACAGCTAACTCAGCGCTTTGAAGAAAATATAGCAAAGTGAATTCCTCCTAGCATACGAGAAAGAACGACAGAAGACGGGATGTAAAGAAGAACAGTGACGGGGAAGACGGCCTTGAGAGACCTGGAGGCAGACGACTGTGGACAACTACATCCGGGTCCCGGTGAAACAACACGGCCATATTGTCAGCGGAATTGTGCTCCCATCACAACAGGAACCGTCTCTTGTGCACTGACATGTTCGTATCGACTTTATTACACACACGTGTTATCTAGAAATTGGACAGCTATACTTGTAGTCTCTAGAATCTAGGCGCATATGTTACGTGTTAGTCTAATTAGATGGTAACATTGGTTGTAAAAGAACAGCTCACCCTACCTTCTCTCCTTCCTCGTCGCGGTTATTTTCACTCAGCTTCTTATATCTCATCATCTCATGCTCATCTGAATAAAAACAAAATGACAGCTAGCCACCTTCCTCTTATCTCATTCTTCATTCATCTTTCCTTTAATTTCTAACAACGTTTCATTGTATGTAGTGCAAACAAACATTTGAGCACTGTCCTTATTCATATTCTGATGGTTGCTTGCACTGAAAAGTGAATGTGCAGTTTCAGTTAGTTTTTCATCAGGTGGTACTTGTACTGTACTACTACTGTCTTTTTCTTAGTTGTCACCGGCTGAACCCCAATGGAAAGTTCTGGTTGTTCGTCCACATCTGGACTTTAGTCTTGTTCAAAAACTAGTAATTTTGGTGAAAGTTCCGATATTCAATATATTGCATGCATAAGCTTAATTTTACAGATTTGGATACTGATGATAGAATGATAGTCAGATACAACTTACTTTGTTTCTGCATTCTTGTTGATATTGTTTTTAACTGTCGAATTATTATAATTATTATATATTATTTTAATGAAAATCTTTGGTCATCACTGTTTACTTCTTGCCTGTCTGCCTGCTTTCATATGTAATAGTAATACACATAGGTCATAGAACTTGTGTCCATTACCCATGTCTGTCATACAGTGTATGATACACATTGAAATCCACAACCATGGATAATGAAGGACGGACATCATTCATCTCAAACCATGGAAATAGCGCATGAGATTACCTACATTATTATTAACGCTTGTGTCCGCAGTGAGATCCTGTCATCATTTGGGGAGGGGGGGGAGGGGACATTTTCGATTCCCGGCAAGGATACCATAGCTTTTGATTTTTTTATATTGTCTGGTGTGTTCTTTCTACTTTTTTCTATGAGTATGTTTTTTTTTTTTTTTATATATCGCTACAGCCTCAAGAGTTTCCTATATCTGTGAATGGCTATCTTCCGAATAACGGTAGCAAATTATCGAGGCCGAAAATATACCCTAACCGGGTCTCAGTCACATGTCAACTGCGGACTTCTGCTCATGCGGCGTGGATTGGGGCTAAACTAGATGGCTGGGACTCACGAAATAAAATGAAGGAAGCTGCAGGAGATGTGGTAGCTGCTGCTTGTGAGTCCCAGCCTTCTAGTTTAGCCCCAATACACACCGCGTGAGTGGCGCGTGGGAAACTCGTGGCGGAAGTGCACAATTTAAGTCGCTGGAAGCCCGCAGTTGACACGTGACTGAGGCCCTGTTAGGGTATATTTTCGACCTTGATAATTTGAGACCGTTATTCGGATGATAGCCCTGTGAATAATGTTACGTTATGTCAGAGTGTATTTATCTGAGAAGCAAGGAACCAACAGTCTGCATAAGCCAGTTCTGTAAGATGAGCGTGCACGCAACATTGGAACAAGACTAGAGTCCAGAAGTGGACAAACAATCATAACTTTTCACTGGAATTAACAGCTGGTGAATGCGAAGAAGAAGAATAAAAAAAAAGAAACATGTTACAATGTGTTATATTTATATAATTTCACATTTATTTGCAGAAAAATCGTGAGCAACAGCTTTCCGTGTAAGTTGGATCCAGCCAGGCCATAAAATAATTGCTGGTACTAACTAAAGAAAGGATTTTGCTACCTGCATTTCTTGGATAATATCTGCTTTTATTAGTACAGGAGCACATCCTATGGCTAAACTGTTGCATTTGTGCATCAGCAGCTTGCTGCAGCATCATTCTGGCTGTTGATTGAATCATCCAAACATTTTATTCACTTACTGACAATTACCTAAGTTTGTGCAAGAAGATGTTTACCGACAGTGTTTAACATGGCTTCTGATGACGATGAAAGTTGTCTAGTCAAGATTTTTCTAGTGAAAACATTTTTGATTATGCATACAAGCTGTATAAAAATAAAGAATTGTCGAACATATTCATCAAAGTACTAGTAGTTTATATGTGATAATTTAGTGACAGGAAGAGAGAGTTGTAATTCTGGGACTATGAGTTCTTATACAAGTACTTCTTCAGACTAGTCACAATCTCATGTGGAATACAGTGGACACATTTGGCTTTGTTGATTCACATTGCCAGTAAACTTTGTAGCTATATGTAAGACAATGGACAGGCAATTTTGCCTATACTGACCAAGTATTAACACTGAAACTTGTGTCTGTCTGCACTGATCAAGATTCTGCCACAGATTTTGTATCTGTTCTTCACCGACCAATACTCTATGATGGATGTATCCGTTCTTTACTGACCAATACTCTAATGGGTGTATCTGTTCTTCACTGATGAAGATTCTGCAGTGGATATTGTATGCTTTTCACGAATCAAGATTCTAAGGTGGATTTTGTGACTGCAGCTATGTACATTAACATGGTGTATAGTTGGCTGGTTCAGAAAATGCAGCGGAGCGGTTGGATGTCTTTGCTGGTTGTCACACTGCTGATTGGAGTGCAGAGATGTGGTAAGGTGTCACTGTTACATGTAGACTGTTACTAAGTTACTAGATTGTCGCTAAGTTGCCAGTCTGAGTTACTGTACTGTCGCCAGTTACTAGACTTTGCTAAGTTATTAGACTGTTGTAAGAAGTTACTAGACTGTCACTAAATTACTAGCCTGTCATTAAGCATTAAGTTTTTTGACTGTCACTGTTACTAGACTGAGGAGAGATGTTCAGTTCCTCATTGACTTTTCCCTCATTGGCCAATTTGCATGCCAATACAATGCCCCAAAAATGTTGCTAATGTCGGGTTGACCGCAGTGCTACTCTGATCAGAGACAAATAATAAAATACTGCCTCTGCTGGGGTTTGAACCTGAACTAGACAGACAAGCCCAAGTTTTTAGACAACAGGATGTTGTAATCTGTACTTTTTTGTATAGTCTTTGCACAGCTGTAATTTATTGTGCGCAAACACACACACACACATACAAATGAACAATTTGTGAGCTGACATCATATCACTTGTAAGACATTCCCATAAGTGCTCTGTCCCCATCTTTAGCAGTCAGTGTTCCATCTGCAATAATACTAGTATGTTACCACTTTGATTTTATGTCCATTTCCTTCAATTGTTGATAGTCGCCAGATCTCCTGGTCACTCCGCGCTGCCCCCTTCTCTCCTGACCATGGTGATCTTTTCCAGCTTTCATATTGTTCACTTGCTGCTAAAGGACCTTGACCACATCTAGTTTTGTCTTTCATCAGCTCACCCAGTGGTGCTGAACCAGCTAGTCTGCTTGTTTCCAAAAACACCTGTATCTTCTTCTTCACTTCCTCTTTTTACCGCTGTGGGTGTCGAGGGAGAAATAAGGTTCTGTTGTCAGAGACAAATAATAAATACTGCCTCTGCTGTATGCCCTAGTGAAAAGACTATTCAGGACCTTTGAAGTGATGCTTGCCACTCTGCATGGAGCATGCCTTTCCCCAGCTTTCTCAGCATGCTTTGTAAATAATGTTTACAGTCATGAATGTCTGCAGCTGATTCTCAAGCTGCATTGACTGTGCCCACTTCCATTGTTATTTTATATACTAGGCTTTGTTGCACTGTGTGTCATCCATTCACTTTTGCTATCAGTCCCCTTACACTGTTTCTGCCTCTCAAGACACAGATGTCTGAATAGACCAGTGGTCTCCTGTGATGAGTTTCCAGACTAGTTTGTTCTGGTCTCTAATTTGTCAGATAGGCAGCATTTATATTTTCCATGACTGTACATGATTTCATGTACATAGCATGCAATGGGTTGTCTGTCTCAGCCAGCTCATTCTGCACACAGCAACACACACTAATTGTTTAGTTACTGAATATATGCAGAAGGTGGGGAGAAAAGGTTCTTGGCAGCCTCTCTTCATGGCATGATAATCAGCACACAAACTGATACATTGCTGGAGATCACAGGATGTGAAGCAGTGTTGGCCAGCTGAGTTGGCAAGGTACTTGATGCTGGTGATACATTGCTGGAGATCACGGGATCTAGAGCAGTGTTGGCCAGCTGAGTTGGCAAGGTACTTGATGCTGGTAATACATTGCTGGAGATCACGGGATCTAGAGCAGTGTTGGCCAACTGAGTTGGCAAGGTACTTGATGCTGGTGATTCATTGCTGAAGATCACAGGATGTGAAGCAGTGTTGGCCAACTGAGTTGGCAAGGTACTTGATGCTGGTGATACATTGCTGCGATCACGGGATGTGAAGCAATGTTGGCCAATTGAGTTGGCAAGGTACTTGATGCTGGTGATACATTGCTGGAGATCACAGGATGTGAAGCAGTGTTGGCCAACTGAGTTGGCAAGTTACTTGATGCTGGTGATACATTGCTGCGATTACGGGATGTGAAGCAATGTTGGCCAATTGAGTTGGCAAGGTACTTGATGCTGGTGATACGGATACAACCAGTGTGTGAAAATGTCTGTAGTGGATGCAAAACAAGACAGCATCCATTCAGATGCAATGCAGATAGCTTTTAGCCCTCTACTGGTGCATGAATGTAAGACAGTAAGAAGAAGAGAAACAGCTGACAGCACCAAAGCTGTTCTCTGAAGAAAATAAAAATGCAATAGATTGGCCAAAAACCAAATGGGTTTGTCTTTGAGAAATAGGTGACTGCACATTGATTTAAAAACTTGCTTGTCACTGAAGAGTTTTGGGAGGAGGTCTGAGAAATTATCGACACCTTGCAGTGCATATGAAAATAACACGGGATATTTTGTGAATTCTTTGCAAAACATTTCTTCGTCTCACGACTGTGTACTGGTGTTCAGGCCGTCTGAGCCCTGAAATGCGTGCATCCATTTGAATATCATTGTTATAAAGACTTATCCTGACCCAGCACCACACAGTATCATCTCTAGTGGCAATTTTTCAGGAGAGGAAAGCTTTTCTTAAGCTCTGAGACCTGGTAGGGTGTGGGAGATTGGACTGGTATAAGGACTTCTCCTGCCCCGGGAGCAGAGTACTGTCATTTAGTGGTGATTGTGAGATTGTGTGTTATTATGTGTGCAACTAATTGAAATTTTAAATTTATGTGCCACTTTCAGATTGTAAAGTTCACAAGGGGTCAACCGTTTGTGAAAAGTATGACAGGAACCAGTGTCTGGATGGCACTGGCCCTTGTGTGACCACCATTGAGGAATGTGCTAATCTGACCACAACCAACAATGAGCCCCTGGATGAGCCACACAACCACATGCTGTGCTTTGCTTCATGGCTGACCATCAACAACTCACAAGATCAGATTATTAAGAAGGGCTGTTGGATGAATGATAACAAGTATGTGGTTTTAAAATATTTTTTTCCTGTGTGGGTTCTCGGTCAGGCCCCATTGTGGGGAAAACAAGAATAGACCCACTGCCTTCTCAACAAGCATGTCATAGGAGTAGACTCATTAGGGACTTCCTTCAAACTCGGAGTGCATCTGTCCGAGCGGCAAGGAACAACCATATGCGTGCAAATAAGCGAGTAAAGTGGATGTAAGCAGTGAACAAAGAAGAAAGACCCTTGACGGTGGTGAGAGTTTGTTGTTGATAGCAACAGTTTGTTGTAGCCCGCCAGTGGCCTGAACAAAGTAGGAATAACTTGATGACAGTAAAGATCTGCTTTCAAAGATTAATGTTGCAGATACCTTGGACAGGCAGAGAAAACAATGTTTGTGTGGATACAATTAATGGGAAAAAAATTGTATGCAATTATAAGAAAAGACAAGTGTTTTTTTCGTCTTGAGATAAGAAGAGAAGCATTGGAGAACAAATGATGGATGGACAGAATTAGCAGTAGGTGAGGTAGAGGTAGACCGAGAGAGGTTGCTGTTGCTGGATTATTGGCAGTGGTGTGGAAGAATACCAAGAGAACTGATCCAGAACACCGTGTTCAGGATCTAAGAAGAGACGTGCATGCCTGTATCATCTGGCAACACACTTGTTGCAGTCAAAGTTATGCTTTCTTCTTGAACATAATAGGTCTTCGGGAGGAGACTGAGCCCTGTTTTGTGAGGCTATGTTGACTTTAAATGAAATATTTAGATGATCTAGCACAGGAAGCGGAGGCATCAGCAGCAAAAGGAAATCTCAGACTTTACAGTAACACAAGGAAATTAGTTAATCATCGAGCTGGATCAATCAAAAATTGCCAGGGAGAGGTACTTACCAACACTAAAGATCAAATGGACAGTTGGGTTGAATATTTTAAAACACTTTTAAATAGACCAGCCCCAGAGGTTTTTCCAGATATCCAGCCTTTAGAAATGGAACTGGATATCAATTGTGAGGTACCATCTAAAGAGGAAATTAGAAAAGCTATCAATCTTCTCAAGGAAGTTGGTAGTTCCAGATGGTGTCCCAGCAGAAGTTAATAAGGCCAATATAAACATCTCGGCGAAATTGATACATAGATTATTTAGTAAGTCTGGGAGACCAAAGAAATACCAGCAGACTGGAAAGAGGTTATCTTGTGAACCTGCCCTGAAAAAGTGATCTACAAAACTATAGAAGAATTATGTTGCTGTCTGTTCCTGGAAAAAATATTCAGTAGGATTATTTTAGAAAGACTTAAAGATGCTATTGATAAAAAGCCAAGAGATGAACAGGCAATTTTTTTGTCCAAACCGATTCTGTATCGACCAGATAGCCACTTTGCGTATAATAATAGAGCAAAGCATTGAACTAACCTTGCCACTTTACATTGGCTTTACAGACTGTGAAAAGCCTTTGACAGCATTGATAGGGAATCTCTCTGGAAATTAGTGAGGCACTATGTGAATCCCACAGAAAATTAACTTAGTAAAGGCAGCATACAAAGACATGAAATGTTGAGTTCTTCATAGCAGAAAGCTAACAAATACATTTGAATAAAAAAGTGTGCGACAGGTGTCCGCGTTAGTGCAGTTGATAGGAGACTCGCTTTCAGATCTGCAGCCCACTGCCGGTGTTTGAAACCAGACAGTTCCCGGGGTTCACCCAGCCTCTAGGTAATGGGTACCAGAGTTAACACTCCGGGATAAATGGAGTAATGTCGCTGAAGCTACGAAGTTGAGGGCGACACAGGTGGACAGTTTCTTATCAGCTGGTGGCAGAGCACTTATGATTTATTACCGCCTGCAGTGGTGCTGGTTCACATCTCCTGACTTTACTTTATATCCTACATTTTGGGTTAGAAAGGCAGAAGAAAAAGGTTGACTCTAGTGTAGTACTGGTTGCAAACATTCACCCAATATCAATATACCTAAATGAAACATAACAACAAGATCTTTGAAGGAATTAAAAAAAAAAAGTCTTTTAGATATTTTCTTCAGTATATGCTTGTGTGTTGGGAAATGAATAGACAGATAGACTGGCTAGTAGTGCACAATTTGGTAGCTTGATATGCTAGATGTTGTTAGGGCCTTTTAGGAGCGAGTTAGCAGTGATGAGGCAAATAGATCATTACAGGCTAAGGAGAATGGTGTTGCGAGGATTTACCAGGGGATCTGGCCGACACTGAACGGTCAGGGAAGGTGTGAGATGGATGTACAGTCAAAATGTCACTGGTGCCATCAGAATTGGAGCTCTGCACTTGCTGCTGAAGATGGGGGGAGGGTGAATGTCCCGAGTGCTGTGATGTTGATTCTCAATCAGCATTAGTGGACTAAGTTTGACTCATTCTAAGACATCAGTAATAGCAACATCACAGAAACAGATGTGGCATCAGTGTACAAATATAGTTCATTGTAGACATTTGTAACCAGTACATACATTCAAGTATCTTGTCACATGGACAGGATATTTCACAGGGGTAAATAACATAAGTTAGTTGTGTATCCTTTACAGGACTTTGTAGAACCAACCTCAGCATTTTTGTTGGGCTGTTGTGGTTTTTCTAGGCAAATTTTTATGTTCATTAGTTTGCTCTTGCTTTCTAAAAGGCCAGCTCTCTATACCATTGTTGAAACCAGCACAAGACAAATTGACTGCTGCTGGGATCGAACCTGAAACGCGTTCAAAATCCCTTAGCCATGGACAAATGACATGATAGGAAGAGTAAAAACTGCATTACATTTTAAAAAAAATGGATGCAATAAATCCTTGAGAATTTCTGTGTGTTACTTAGATTCAGTTTAAACAAAATATTCCTAAATCTTGGATAGTTAGTAGGCGAGCTAAAATATCCTTGAAACATGGCAGATAGGAGAATGTTGGGAGAGCCAGCGTGAGTAGTGTACAGATTTTGGAAAAGATCAACACAAATACAACTTTTCAAAAACAGCAAGAAGAGATGGTTAGTCTTGTCATACATGTTAGACTAATACTGGGTGTACGTTTAAAATACAGATGCTTAATATGCTTTATCATTGTAGCATAACTATTTCTAATAGTGCTGTTATTGTGCTGTTGCTTGAAGGAGCTATGAAGACAATGAAGGTTGTAGTTGGACTGCTTGATACTCCCCGGGTGGGCAGCATTGTGGGCGTGAGGGATTTACCCCCACCCCCCCCCCCCCCCCAAATAATTTCGTAAAAGTCGACTGGCAAAGGGTGTTTCCTTTAAAGTGGAGTGCATCTGTCTGCATACAGCTAAGCCAGGTTTGTAAAACAGATGTGCACTCAAAACTCAAGATCTGGAACAAAATTAAAGTTCATGATTGGAGGTACAACCAGAACTTTTTGTCGAAGTTTACAGCTTGTGAATGCTAAGAAGAAGAGAAGTGCCTCACTTATGTAAGGCTGCACATTGGGAATACAGATGCTAATATGTGAATCATTGATTTGTTCTAATGTTTGCGCTTGAAGGTGCTATGAGCAGCCTGAGTGTGTGGAGGACAGATACAGCGCCTCAGTGTTCTTCTGCTGCTGTGATGGTGACCTCTGCAACAAGGAATACATCCACCGACCTTCAGGAGAACCACCGCAAGTCATCCGGCAGCCGGAGGTAGGGGATGTTGTCATTCGTGCTGAGGATCAGCAGCTGACCAAGACACTGCTGTACTCGATAGTCCCCATTTTGGGTGTGGGCATTCTTGTGGTGACTCTCTTCTTCATGTGGCGCAGACACCAGCACCACATGGGGCACACCCAGCTGCCGACAGTGGATCCCAGCCTGGCTGCGACCCCGACTCAGTCAACACTGAATATACACCTGTTAGAGCTTAGGGCCAGGGGTCGTTATGGATCCCTGTGGAAAGCTCAGCTTGCAGATCAGTAAGTACAGGCTGATAGTGTTGAATGTTGACCAAGTACTGGTTGTTGCTGTTGAATGTTGACCAAGTACTGGCTGTTACTGTTGAATGTTGACCAAGTACTGGCTGTTACTGTTGAATTTTGACCAAGTACTGGCTGTTACTGTTGAATGTTGACCAAGTTAAAGGTTGTTACTGTTGAATGTTATTCAGGTACACAATTAGGGCTGTTGCTGTTTTATTGTTGCTCTTGACAGAGCTCATCAACGAACATTACACCTCCCCCCAACACTTCAATGGGGTAAAAAGGTGGAAGAAAAGAAGAACTGTTGAGTGTTGACCAATTACAGGCTGTTAGTGTTGAATGTTGACCAAGTACAGGCTGTTATTGTTAAAGTTGCCAAGTACTTTATGTTATTGTTGAATGTTGATTAAATATGTGCTCTTACTGTTAAATGTTGACCAATTAAATGGTGTTGCTGTTGAATGTTGACCAAGTAAAGGGTGTTGCTGAGGAATGTTGACCAAGTAAAGGGTGTTGCTGTGGAATGTTGGCCGAGTAAAGGGTGTTGCTGTTAAATGTTGACCGAGTAAAGGGGTTGCTGTTGAATGTTGACCAATAAAAGGTGTTGCTGTAGAATGTTGACCAAGTAAAGGGTTTTGTTGTGGAATGTTGACCAAGTAAAGGGTGTTGCTGTAAAATATTGACCAATTAAAAGGTGTTGCTGTGGAATGTTGACCAAGTAAAGGGTGTTACTGTGGAATGTTGAATTAATAATTGACTTCAAGTCATGTGTCACAGCTGATGACATAAATTAAAGACTGGTCATGTTGAGCAATGAATTCAGTCACTGCAGCTGATGGCATGCTTGGCAGGTTGCCATGGTAATTATTGTTAGTTCTAGTCAAGTCTACATGATAGCTGTTGTTTGAAAATAAGTTGCCTCCGACAACATACTTATCAGGTTGCCATGATACTTGTTAGTAAAATTAGTGTCTGCGTGATAACTGATGTCTGCATGTATATTGTCTATGATGATATACTTGCCAGTCTAGAGTGATGATTCTTCTTAGTCTGTGTAATGTTTACAGGATACATTTGGTTTAGACAGGTATGGCTGTGTTTAAGACTTGGCATTACAAACTGGCAGAACGGCTGGTACCATGGTTTGCTGGTGATCCTCCTGGCCTGAGGGGGATACTGTTAATCATCTCTATTTTGGGTCTCAGTAGTTCACATTAGAAGACACAACAATCTTATAAAAAAAACTGTACTGGAAGTGATGACAGCATTACAGGTGAACACATGTAGAGATGGACGAACAGCAGTCTTGGAGAGTGCACAGTCAGAAAAAGGGACAGAATGTTTTGGAAATCCACAGCAGCCAGTCTTCACTGTGGAGCTGGCACCTCATTGATTGAATTGACAAGTGTGATGTGCTGCTTGTTTTGCACCAAGACTGATGTGAAGATTGTTTTTACATGCCATTCCACCGTAGATCCATGTCTAGAACTGCTCTTGGGAAATTAATGTAATACTTGTCTCTTGATGTTGACACCAGAGATGCTTTGTCTTTCCTTCATTCTTTGTCTGCTTTTCATCTCTCAGTGCATCATAGGCCTGCAGCCAAGTCCTGCGAGGCTTCTGTTAGATTTGCAGCTAATGATTTCTGTGTTAGGAGGTAGTCAGTCACAGTCCAGTCCTTCTGAGTCATTTCTGACTGTATACATTCTCCATGTGGGGAGGGGGGAATAGACTCACTGCCTCCCTAACAAGCACGACTAATGAGAGGAGTTTCCTTCATAGTGCTTCTGTCTGAGAGGTGAGGAACCAACAGTCTGCATACAAATAAGCCAGATCTGTAAAATGGATGCGCAATCAAAACTAAAGTTCTTGAACAAGACCAAAGTCCATAAATGGATGAACAACAAGAGGTTTCCCGTCAGAGTTTACAACTGACAAACAAAAAGAAGAAGAGACTGTCAATGTTCTTTACAGGCTCTGATATGACACTGGTGTTTTCTTCAATATTCTGCTCTGTGTAGCTGACAGATGTTTAGAGTTTTGCAGGCGGTAACAATAATGGCCAAGAATTTACGATTTCCAACTGTTTCAAGATCTCAACCTATGTATGTATCATGCACATGGAACTTCATTGTTTGGTCATTATCTGAGAATGTTGATCGTGTGATCCATAACACTGGGATCTTTGAGGGTGGCACTTTTTTGAGCTTCTAATTTGTTTTTATGTTATATGATAATGTGAATTACTTTGTGTAGAATGATAATGTGAATTACTTTATGTAGAATGATAATGTGAATTACTTTGTGTAGAATGATAATGTGAATTACTTTGTGTAGAATGATAATGTGAATTACTTTATGTTATATGATAATGTGAATTACTTTATGTTATATGATAATGTTCTCTAATCTTCCTTGTTTGTTTTCTGTCTACAAAGGGATAAGTGGGAAGGATGCATGACTACCAATGGGACAGTGATCCCCAGCTCCATGAAATACGTGGCAGTGAAGATATTCCCTCTCCAAGACAAGCAGTCGTGGATGGCAGAGCTGGATATCTACAACCTCCCTCACATGAAGCATGAGAATGTTCTCAGATTCTTTGCCCCTGAGAAGCGTGAGGACAACCTAACCACTGAGCTTTGGCTCATTGCAGAGTTCCATGAGAAAGGTATGTAGTTGATAGTTCTGAGTCTTGTAATACTTAACTGTGATGCCTTTATTTTCTGTTGATTTATTGTGTTGTATCTTTTCTATAAAGCACAACAAAAAGACAGGCATCAGTTCATGTCTTTCCCTTGTGGTTTTTAGAGAACAAATAATAGACCCACTGCTTCCTAACACACATGTAGTAGGAGGTGACTTATTAGGGGTATCTCCTTCTAAGTCCGGGTGCATCTGCCTAAGAGGCAAGGAACCAACACTCTGCATACAGATAAGCCAGATCTGTAATAGGGATATGCAGGCAGAATTTGAGTTCTGGATCCAGACCAAAGTCCATGAATGTACAAACAACCAGAACTTTCCACTGGGGCTTACAGCCTGTGAGTGTTCAGAAGCAGTCCATGTCTTTCCCCTTCACTTCACAGAGCCATTATATTTAGTGTTGCTTTCAATAACATCTTTGCCACCCTGGTGTCACAGAGGTAACTTGTGGTCTTGTTTTCAAGTTAGGAGCAGCTGGTTGAGGGGTTCAGAACTCCAGGTCTCATATACAATACCTAGACTCAAACCCTCGGTAAGGTTATTGGTGTTGTCTGTTGGGGACAAAAGTAAAATCTTTATATGCACAGTATTCAGTGACTGGACTAGCCATGCTGCCCTAAATCCCCAGGTTCAAATACCCCCCACTTGAGACCCAGTATCTAACCGATCAGCTAGCTTCTCCTCTCTGGAAAACAAGATCACAAGTTAACTCGGGCTAAAAGATGTGCCTTTGAACACAATATAAAATATGATGGTTCATTGAAGTCAAGGGAAATCACAAACTGGTCATTTTTTTTTGAGTTCTTAGTATCAGCTCTACTGCTGTCACTGTTAGTAATTAGTGAAGATTATCACTAAAGCACTTAGGACAGATCCACAGGTGCTCTGATCTCCTCCTCAGAAGCTCCACAAACATTAAATGACTGATGACACCTGTTCTAAGTTGATTAATCAAATGCCTCACCCCCATGGTCCATACTGTTATGTTCTGCATCAAGCCAGAAGAGGAAAGGTTGTGTGTTACTCAACTGATCATCCTCAGCTCAAAATGGACAAGTCCTAAAGAACTCATATCCCATCTTTAGTATCTACTCATCGTGTGGTGACTGATAACTCCACTTCTTCTGTGTTGATTTACTATTCTTCTTTGGTTGTTTGTATAGTGGTAATGTCTAGCAGTACATCTTTTGACATGAAGTTCTTGTAGTCTTGTTAAGGTTACTGGTTCACTGTTGTCACTTGAATCATCCACTCGTCTCCCGGTCCTCTCTTTTCCTGTGCCTACTGTGGCCGTGCCAGCAAGCCACTACACTCATTCAATCCCGCTTATCCCAAAGTGTCCTGGCACAAAAAGGAAACTTAATTCTTGACAGATGAGATTTCCTCAATGACTCCAACCATTGTCCTCAAACCAGCCCTGTTTCTATCTTCTTAAGTATCTTCCTGCAATCAGTTAAAAAGCATGCATCATCAGTTAAAAAGTTAGAAAGGCTCATCAGACATAAAGGTTTGAAAGTCCTCATTGAGGCAGATTTTTAAATAATTAACCTAGGCTTTCAGGCCAACCCAGCCTAACATCTATGTGAGGCATTGTCTGAGGAAGTAAAGGTGTGTCATAATGTTGACATTACTTTTCAAATTCAGATTCATGTATGAAAGTGTGGGTTCTGCATCATATGTCTGATGCTGTGCATGTTGGTTCTGGGGCCTCATTTTTTCAGGAAACAGATTTGACCCCCCCCCCCCCCTCCCCACAAGCTGGTTGTACAAACGGCTAATTAGAGATGTTTTCTGTGAATGTGTAGTATGTCTGCCTGCGCAAGGAACTGAGTCTGCATACAGATCAACCCAATCAGTGAAATGGATGTACACACAAAACTGAAGTAGTTCTGGAACAAACCCAATTGTTAGAATTGGACGAACCAGCAGAATTGTCTCCTTGAGTTCACAGCTGTCAATGCTAGGAAGAAGAAGATATACCTGATGCTCAAAGAGAAAGAAAAGGAGCTTGTACTGTTTAATACTTAGCATTGCTTCATCTCTGCCAGGTTCCCTGTGTGATTACCTCAAGGCAAACACTGTGACCTGGGCTCAACTGTGCCGCATAGGGGAGTCCATGACCTGTGGGCTGGCCTACCTTCACGATGAGATCCCAGCAACGTATGGCTCCCCAGCAAAGCCAGCTATAGCTCACCGTGACTTCAAGAGCAAGAACGTGCTGCTTAAGCAAGACCTGACTGCATGCATCGCTGACTTTGGGCTGGCACTGAAGTTTGAACCTGGCAAAGTGTTTAACGAAACACATCCGCAGGTAACAAGTTTCTGGGTAATACAAGCTGTTACTTTTGGTTTATTATTTGGGGGAAACCCCTTGAAAAATGGGATTTTCCAAAATCCTGTGCTTTGCTTTTAATTGAGAACTGTTTTTTAATGCTCCCTATGTTACATTTTCTCTGTAATTTATACAGACAACCTTTTATGCAGCAATAAACAAGCAACATTTCCTACTCTGGTCCTCAGGCTTTGCAAATCATAAATTGAAATAAATGTATCTCACAAAGTTTAAAAAAAAAAAACTATTGTGTGCATGTGGGTTTAAACAATGATTAAAAAAACGTATAAACTTCCAGTGACACAATTCCTCTTGAATATCATCATGTCAGTGGCAGTATGAAATATCTGGGAACAGCAACCACACAGTCTTCACTGAAGATGGGAAGCTGGATATAGAAATTAACCCCAGATGCAGTAAAGAAAACCAACTATTGGGACAGCTACCCCTCTATTAGAGCAAAGGACAATCCCAGAACAAAGAAATAACTCATACAAAGCATATTCATTCCTACTCTGTGCTACCAGTGCCAGACATGGTAACTTATAGCAAACCATAAAAGAACATCTGTAACCATGATATAGTTACACGGCGGGTTCCTGGACCTTATTGTGGCGAGAACAGAAAAAGAGAGTAGACTCACTGCTTTTTTAACAAGCATGTCAAAAGAGTGGACTAATTAGAAAGTCGGAATGTGTCTGTTGGAGAGGCAAGGAACCAGCAGTCTGCACACAAAATACGCCAGATCTTTCAAGCAGAAGTGCACACAAAACTGAAGTCCTGCAACAAGACTACAATCCAGGATTGGATGAACAAATAGAACTTTCCCCCTGAGTTTACAGCTGGGGGTTGCAGCAAAGAAGAAGAATAACCATGAAAATGACATTTCTAAAAATTGCTGCAGGTGACCAGATTAGATTAAATTCAGAAATGAGATCATAACAGGAATTATTTATGCACGGAACCAATTCTTAAGTGCATACAAAGTCATATCAAATGGCTTGCTGTGACGCCATACCATACAAGGCAGACACCAAAAGAACAGAATACAGAGCGCAAAGTGGAACAAGAACAAAATGGAAAGATAATGCCAAGGAGACTACAACAGCACAATTTGTTTATCATCACGGTGGCCAGAAGAGCAGGAAGCTGGACCTTATGTCTCCATCGACACTGAAAGCAGTAACAGAGAAAATGAATTAGTGGCTTTATTTCTCCTTTCTTTGCGCTCTGTATTCTGAGAAAGTCTACTCTCCCGACCCACATTGAGAAAGTCTACTCTCCCGACCCACATTGAGAAAGTCTACTCTCCCGACTCACATTGAGATAGTCTACTCTCCCGACCCACATTGAGATAGTCTACTCTCCCGACCCACATTGAGAAAGTCTACTCTCCCGACCCACATTGAGAAAGTCTACTCCCCTGACCCACATTGAGATAGTCTACTCTCCCAACCCACATTGAGATAGTCTACTCTCCCGACCCACATTGAGAAAGTCTACTCTCCCAACCCACATTGAGATAGTCTACTCTCCCGACCCACATTGAGAAAGTCTACTCTCCCAACCCAGATTGAGATAGTCTACTCTCCCGACCCACATTGAGATAGTCTACTCTCCCGACCCACATTGAGATAGTCTACTCTCCCGACCCACATTGAGATAGTCTACTCTCCCGACCCACATTGAGATAGTCTACTCTCCCGACCCACATTGAGAAAGTCTACTCTCCCGACCCACATTGAGATAGTCTACTCTCCCGACCCACATTGAGATAGTCTATTCTCCCGACCCACATTGAGATAGTCTACTCTCCCGACCCACATTGAGATAGTCTACTCTCCCGACCCACATTGAGATAGTCTACTCTCCCGACCCACATTGAGATAGTCTACTCTCCTGACCCACATTGAGATAGTCTACTTTCCTGACCCACATTGAGATAGTCTACTCTCCCGACCCACATTGAGATAGTCTACTCTCCCGACCCACATTGAGATAGTCTACTCTCCCGACCCACATTGAGATTGTCTACTCTCCCGCCCCACATTGAGATAGTCTACTCTCCCGACCCACATTGAGATAGTCTACTCTCCCGACCCACATTGAGATAGTCTAATCAGAGATGTGGCAGTGGCTAGGCTCTAAACAGTTAACACTTGAAACAGAAATAGGAGAATTCAGAGAAAGATTAACTACAATGGAAATTGCCTTAGAGTATTATTACTTTGTTAAAATTTACAGGTGGGCACTCGACGATACATGGCTCCTGAAGTGCTGGAAGGAGCTATATGTTTTAATCTAGACTCCTTCTTGCGTATTGATATGTACGCGTGTGGGCTGATCATCTGGGAACTCATGACCAGATGCTCTTCTCAGGATGGTGAGTGACATTGGACTGTGTGGACTGTGTGACTGTTTATTGTAAGAAGGAAGGAACCACATTCAACATGAATTACATGCTCAAGTTTGTGAAGCACAGGAATCTGTGCAGTATTCCTTGTCCCTCATTGGAGCAAAGGTCCTGAGCGAACCGATGCCAAGTTGTTCCCCTTTTTCACCATGCCCTGCACCTCACTGTATCCTGACATTATTTATCCCTAACTCTAATTCTCTTTGTACTTTTTTCTCTTACCATTCTATTTTCCATTCCATACATTGTTCTACCTTCAGTGACACAATTCTAGAGGTTTCTCAGGTGAAAGGAGGTAGCTTGGTAAACCACTCTTTAGATGTGTCCCTATTTCTTCATAGATCTAGAAGGTGCACTGCCTTCATCTTGACAGTAACCTTTTTTTTTTTTTGGTTTTTTTTGTGTGTGTTGTTGTTTTATCCATATTTCTTCAAAGATCTAGAGGTACCTCAATTCATCTTGGCTGGTTGAGTAACATTGTTCCTGTTTACACTTGTTCATAGTTGGTCAGCTTTTGTGGGTGAAGCTTTTTTGTGGTATTGAAAAGCCAACCCTGGAACCAGCCCTCCATTGTGGGCCTCTTAGATATGCTTGGTGCAGTGTTCAGTCAAGGGTCCCTTGTATCACATGATAAATCTGTGTATCACTGCAACACCTGCAGGCTCTGAAAGAACTTGCAGTCTAGGTCCTGTAATGGTGAATCTCCTGCTTGTAAATGTACACATGTAGCACACATGTATTTCTGTAGTTGCTTTCCTCCTCCAGCTGTTATTGTTGATTATTCACCATCTTTGAGAGAAAAAATAAAACAGATATCTTGTTGGTGTCTAGTTACTACCATCTACATTCCGTGTGAAGCTTTGAGTCCTCAACTGTTAACCCTACCAGACCGCTGGCCTGGTTTTCCAGGAATTTTTTAACCTGACGCCAGACCGCTGGCCCTAAATTTAGGCTTTTTGCATAGTACAGCGAAAAGATGCGTCACGGACTAAAAATAACCACCCAATCGTTATCAATCCTCTTTGTTAGACATTGCAAATGTCTGCCCGCATGTGTTTGGATTTTATTTGTGTTGTTTTACGTGGAAAAAATCTTAAAATTCACAATGAAACGAGCGGCTGATGAGCCAAGTTCTAGGGGTTTCACAGTCCAACAGGTGATCGATACTCTGGTTTATTCAGACTCTGCGGAGTGATAATTTCATAAAGAATACGTTCTTGAAGTGACAATGTCAGCGAGAGCGCGAATGATGAGGAAAATCTAGAAAATTATAAATCTTGAAATAGATCGATAGTGGGAGAAGGGGGCGTGTCCCTCAAACGGCAACATCTGGTGTTCACTTTGTGAAACAAAGTTGATCCTGATGATTGGATTCACACACAAAGGTGGAATATTGGCGCTAGATAAAAGGCAAGCCTATTTTCTACAATGTCTCCGTTTCATCATATTCTAGCCACTAGTTTGCATGTAACTAATATTTTTGTATATCATGTTGGTTTTTTCGCGGTAATGCCCAGGAGCTCAGGTTATAGGGACAGTTAGGTTCAGGGCCTCGGGTCTGGTAGGGTTAAGAAGTAAACGCAGATGTTGCCGGCTCTGTGCAGGTTGGCTGCAATGAACCTACTACTATGAGAATATTACATGGTGAGGTCCTAATCTCTTCCACAGTGCTGCTCTCATACCACTGTTGTCTGAGGACAACGAGAGCAGTCTGATTCATGACTGCCCACTGCAAGAACCAGACCCTGAAACGTTGAGGATTGCATTGTGAAACAAGTTTATTAACTTTCAAGTCACAGAGCCGCAAGAGTAAGAGGAAGGCTTTCTAATAAGATTTGACAAGATCATTCAGTGTGAAAGGGTCATCTTGGTGTTCTCAATGTTTAGTCAGTTTTAGTTGTTAAACTAAGCTAAGATAGAAATTTCACTTATAATTATTGTATGGCTACTAGCAATTTTAGTTATAATTATTGTATGGCTACTAGCAATTTTAGTTATAATTATTGTATGGCTACTAGCATTTTCACTTATAATTATTGTATGGCTACTATCATTTTCACTTATAATTATTGTATGGCTACTAGCAATTTTAGTTATAATTATTGTATGGCTACTAGCAATTTCAGTTATAATTACTGTCTACTAGCAATTTCAGTTATAATTATTGTATGGCTACTAACAATTTTAGTTATAATTATTGTATGGCTACTAGCAATTTTAGTTATAATTATTGTATGGCTACTAGCAATTTCAGTTATAATTATTGTATGGCTACTAGCAATTATAATTATAATTATTGTATTGCTACTAGCAATTTTAGTTATAATTATTGTATGGCTTCTAGCAATTTCAGTTATAATTATTGTATGGCTACTAGCAATTTCAGCATATTTATTTACTTATGAAAAGAGCTTCTTTAAAAAGTTTGTGCAATTTCCATAAAATTGTGAGTTTTCTATGTGTGTCTTAAAAAAAAAATTGTTTTTTTTTTTTAAAATTTAGAAGACTTTTCTCTGACCCAGTCATATAATCACATAATTCTAAAATACTAATCCTTTAATGTTTTAGTTCCCTTAATACTTCCATTATTCTTCCTACATTGTAAAAGTTCTAACATTGCCGGTGCCAGTTCTGGAGGTTTTCCTAGGTGAAAGGAGGTGCATCAACGATCCAGACTCCTTTCGGCTTCTCTGCACTGTGTCTCCCCTCATCTTGGTTCACTGGGTTTTTCTTGTTTCTCTTTCTGACTTATCTGTGGTTGACTGGGTTTTTCTTGTTTCTTTTTCTGACTTGTCCATGGTTGGTTGGTTTTTTAAAATGCTCATGATTGATGATTATTGAATAGTAGTGTGTTCTCTCCCTGTTGAACTGCTAGAGAGAACTTGGGCCTGATAGAATCAAGTCCTGTAGTGGTTGCTGTGATTGCACATAGTTTGTCTTCTACACATTGTTTTGACTTTACTAGGGCCTGTGGATAGCTATCGGCTACCATTTGAAGCAGAAGTTGGACTTCAGCCAACGCTGGAAGAGATGCAAACATTAGTGGTCACACAGAGGATGAGGCCAGCAATCAATCCAGTCTGGCGCAAGCATTCTGTAAGTTCACATTTCTGTTGCTTAGAAAGTGTCAGCAGAGTCCTTCATCATTCACCTTCATGCAGGCTCACACATACACAGAAAGGTTTCAATAAATAGTGTAATAAATGACCACAGTATAAAAGAGATTATTTGAATAATTTAGAATAAGTTTATGTTTTTTTTAACTCCCTTTGTGTGTGTTTGTGTAAGAGAGAGAAAGAGATTAGTAAATTTATAATTTATCTCATGTATTCTGTGTCTGTGTGAGAGAGACGGGGAATTTATTAGTAACTATGACAATTTTATGTCAGTATTGTGTGTGTGCATGTGCGTTGGTGGGATGGGGGGGGGGGGGGGGGGGGGGGGGGGGGGGGGGGGGGGGGGGGGGGGGGGGGGGGGGGGGGGGGGGGGGGGGGGGGGGGCAATAGATAGATTTTATTAGTAACTTGATGATAATCTGATGTCATATATTTGTGTGTGTCAGTGAGAGAGAGAGAGAGAGAGAGAGAGTAGGGGGGGGGGGGGGGGGGGAGGAGCAATAGATTTTATTAGTAACTTGATGATAATCTGATGTCATATATTTGTGTGAGAGAGAGAGAGAGAGAGAGGGGGGGGGGTGTGGGGAGCAATAGACTTTATTAGTAACTTGATGATAATCTGATGTCATATATTTGTGCATGAGAGAGAAAAAAAAAAGGAGAGGGGATGCTTTTAGTTATTGTAGCATAATTTTTGCCTGTGTATGTTCTATGCCCCATCGTGCGGAAAACAAGAATAAATGCATTGCATTCCTAATTAGCATGTAGTAAGAGTTAAGAGGCAGTTAACTGTTATATGTGACATGAGAGGATGTGCTGTACATCTGGCCAAGTGTCTAGAGGTGAATGATTATGCTTCACCCGTTTATACAAACATTCCCAAGCCGACTGTCCGACGACTAAATAGGGTTTCCTACCGGTGAGGGCATAGATAACATAGTCACATCGTTCCAACACTGCTGACAATGTTAACATTATATTAGGTCATCTCTCTAATAATGAGTCAGTCTCTTTATTAATGAACGCAAGCGATGAAGATGAATTGGTGATTGCAGAACTGCTGTCCATCTAGTACTTCAAATACACAATGGTATACTTCCAAGGCAGCCTCACCTCAAAGGGCGACACCTAGCCTCGACTTGACGTGAGTCCACAACATAAGACACCTTCGACGTACGTGCCCACTACTGGGGTCACTAGTAGCTTTTAATTAAAAAAATGTGCTATGTTGACACAATTTGGGTCACTAATAGCCTACAATAACACCTCGGTTATGTGCCCACGATTTGGGTTACCAATAACCTACAACAGTAATTATCACTATATGCCAGGCTGACCTGCGGGGGCGCAGTCCATGAGTGCTACTGTCACATGACCCGTAAGTTTTTACATAACAGCCATTGGCACTGACCAATACTGCCAAGTATACTCAGTCAAATAACACAGTGGTCAGATAAAGTGTTTGGCTCTCACCATCTTGTCTCCGCTAAATACACCTATTCCCAATAATGCACCAAATTCTAATAAAAAGGCCAAACTCTAAAACATAATAAAATAGTAGACATAATTACAAATAATGGTTACACATGCCTGCACATGTCTGGCTCTGTCTCACTGAATGAAAGGCCACACATGTCTGGCTCTGTCTCACTGAATGAGAGACTGCACATGTCTGGCTCTGTCTCACTGAATGAGAGACCGCACATGTCTGGCTCTGTCTCACTGAATGAGAGGCCACACATGTCTGGCTCTGTCTCACTGAATGAGAGGCCGCACATGTCTGGCTCTGTCTCACTGAATGAGAGGCCGCACATGTCTGGCTCTGTCTCACTGAATGAGAGGCCGCACATGTCTGGCTCTGTGTCTCACTGAATGAGAGGCCCGCACATGTCTGGCTCTGTCTCACTGAATGAGAGGCCGCACATGTCTGGCTCTGTCTCACTGAATGAGAGGCCGCACATGTCTGGCTCTGTCTCACTGAATGAGAGGCCGCACATGTCTGGCTCTGTCTCAGTGAATGAGAGGCCGCACATGTCTGGCTCTGTCTCACTGAATGAGAGGCCGCACATGTCTGGCTCTGTCTCACTGAATGAGAGGCCGCACATGTCTGGCTCTGTCTCACTGAATGAGAGGCCGCACATGTCTGGCTCTGTCTCACTGAATGAGAGGCCACACATGTCTGGCTCTGTCTCACTGAATGAGAGGCCGCACATGTCTGGCTCTGTCTCACTGAATGAGAGGCCGCACATGTCTGGCTCTGTCTCACTGAATGAGAGGCTGCACATGTCTGGCTCTGTCTCACTGAATGAGAGGCCGCACTGTCTGGCTCTGTCTCACTGAATGAGAGGCCGCACATGTCTGGCTCTGTCTCACTGAATGAGAGGCCGCACACATGTCTGGCTCTGTCTCACTGAATGAGAGGCCGCACATGTCTGGCTCTGGTCTCACTGAATGAGAGGCCGCACATGTCTGGCTCTGTCTCACTGAATGAGAGGCCGCACATGTCTGGCTCTGTCTCACTGAATGAGAGGCCGCACATGTCTGCTCTGTCTCACTGAATGAGAGGCCGCACATGTCTGGCTCTGTCTCACTGAATGAGAGGCCGCACATGTCTGGCTCTGTCTCACTGAATGAGAGGCCGCACATGTCTGGCTCTGTCTCACTGAATGAGAGGCCGCACATGTCTGGCTCTGTCTCACTGAATGAGAGGCCGCACATGTCTGGCTCTGTCTCACTGAATGAGAGGCCGCACATGTCTGGCTCTGTCTCACTGAATGAGAGGCCGCACATGTCTGGCTCTGTCTCACTGAATGAGAGGCCGCACATGTCTGGCTCTGTCTCACTGAATGAGATGCCGCACATGTCTGGCTCTGTCTTACTGAATGAGAGGCCGCACATGTCTGGCTCTGTCTCACTGAATGAGAGGCCGCACATGTCTGGCTCTGTCTCACTGAATGAGAGGCCGCACATGTATGGCTCTGTCTCACTGAATGAGAGGCCTCACATGTCTGGCTCTGTCTCAGTGAATGAGAGGCCACACATGTCTGGCTCTGTCTCACTGAATGAGAGGCCGCACATGTCTGGCTCTGTCTCACTGAATGAGAGGCCGCACATGTCTGGCTCTGTCTTACTGAATGAGAGGCCGCACATGTCTGGCTCTGTCTCACTGAATGAGAGGCCGCACATGTCTGGCTCTGTCTCACTGAATGAGGAGGCCGCACATGTCTGGCTCTGTCTCACTGAATGAGAGGCCGCACATGTCTGGCTCTGTCTCACTGAATGAGAGGCCGCACATGTCTGGCTCTGTCTCACTGAATGAGAGGCCGCACATGTCTGGCTCTGTCTCACTGAATGAGAGGCCGCACATGTCTGGCTCTGTCTCACTGAATGAGAGGCCGCACATGTCTGGCTCTGTCTTACTGAATGAGAGGCCGCACATGTCTGGCTCTGTCTCACTGAATGAGAGGCCACACATGTCTGGCTCTGCCTCACTGAATGAGAGACCGCACATGTCTGGCTCTGTCTCACTGAATGAGAGGCCACACATGTCTGGCTCTGCCTCACTGAATGAGAGGCACTGAGTAGACACAGGTTCACGTTCCAGGCAGGTCACACTTGCGTCTCACAATACTTGTGGAGAAGCAGTTAGCCGCTAATCTCGAGAAACACTCATCTCACAACTTCAAGTAGCGTGGACCTTTTGAACTTGTCTTTGTTACCATCATCATCTAGCGTCTTTACGACTGGCATAGGCGATCATGCCTCTGACCTCTGGTTTAGCAAAGTTAGTTCAGTGCATAACAATAACTAATGGCAAGCCCTGGAATCAACCAGATCTGTTACATGGATGTGCAGGCAATATTCAAGTTCTGTAATAAGACTGGAACAAGTCCAGAATTGGACGAACAATTAGATCTCTATGCCAGAGTGTACAAATGGTGAACATAAAGAAGTATGATAATTTTATTGCTTGTATTTTCTTTGTGTGTCAGAGATAGAGAGAGACACACACGCACAGATTTTTATTAGTAATTGTATAATTTTATGTCATGTAATCTGTGTGTGTTTTGTATATGAGATTGTATTAGTAATGTTATGAAGTTTAATATCATCTGTTGTATGCTGTGCTCCCTAGGGACTGGGTAACCTCATTTCAACGGTGGAAGAATGCTGGGACCAGGATGCAGAGGCCCGCTTGTCTGCCGGTTGTGTCAAAGAGCGCATCGGACAACTGGCCCGTATCATCAACTCAGGGAGCGGAGGAGGGTCTCTCAACGAGCAGTCCTCATTGCTGACCACACAGACAGCTCAGGTCAACAGAGTGTCCTTCCTTGTGCCTAGCCCTGCCATCATCAACGGTGGCGCCACTGACAGAGACACGTTCGTGACACTGCCCCCTGACCCGGTATCATGTTAAAAATAATAGGCGTATTTGTTCAATGGTGTGGATGTGGGTTTGATCCTCAGGGGCATGCTTGACTGTTGGAGCATCCATATCCTCCCCTCACATGTTCAAGATGTTTCTCAGTAAAGAGCAGGTTTAATTCCACATTAGCATTGCATGAACTGGCACAGAAGTTGCGGTGATGTACTTTTGGTGAAAGATTTCTGTGGTTTGTGAAGATTCCGACTTTTTTGTGTACAATCCTTTCTGAAGAAGCGTCACAACAGAAACAATCTCATAAAACCATGCAGTGTATAAAGAAAACCGACCACTTTTGTTCGGCAAAACATAACAATGAAATGCAGATGTGAATAAACTGCTCTCATTGGTGCTTTATGTTGCAAAGTATTCTGTGAGCTTGGTAACACATATGTGCAGTAAGGTGAATGGTGCAGGTAGTATGTGCCATATTTAAAGTAGGTAGGGGGAGGGCAAACTTCTGTTGGAGAGAATGATGTGATTGCTAGTGTCAGCATTGCAACATTCATGATAAATTTGATGATTGCCTGCAAAAGCCGGCACACTTTGTGTTGTGACAAAGCTTTGACTAATCTGTCTGATGGTTTCTGGAAGTCGGCACACTTTGTGACATACCTTCGACAAGCCTGACTGATGGTTTTGGGAAGCTGGCACACTTTGTGATCTACCATTGACAAGCCTGACTGACGGTCTGGGGAAGCCGGCACACTTTGTGACGTACCATCGACAAGCCTGAGCCGGCACACTTTGTGACGTACCATCAACGAGCCTGAGTCGGCACACTTTGTGACATACCATCGACAAGCCTGACTGATGGTTTGGGGGAGCCGGCACACTTTGTGACATACCTTTGACAAGAATGACTGAAAGCCTGTGTGGTGGAACTATTGGTTTAGTGTTCATCTTGCATAATACATCTGTAATATAGCAGTGTGCATCAGGACTATCCATTAATGTATCCCCTCTCTGTCTGTCTGTCTGTCTGTCTGTCTGTCTGTCTGTCTGTCTGTCTGTCTGTCTGTCTCTCTCTCTCTCTCTCTCTCTCTCTCTCTCTCTCTCTCTCTCTCTCTCTCTCTCTCTCTCTCTCTCTCTGACACACACATGCATGCACACACACACATTGTAATTTCCTGTCTCATTCTTCCCTTTCTCAACCCTGTCTGTTTTCATCTCTTTTCCCCTATCCATAAGAGCTGTTCTGTTTGCTTATGCCACTCTAGTATCTACACACAGTCTCCTATATGAGAAATGGTCAGTATTTGTACTGTATGGTTCTATGTTTGTATCATGTACACATCTTCTTCCTCAGCCTTCTCTGTCTGCTGTCTGCAAGGACACAAAGATCACTATTTGGACAATATTTGTAAGGGGTTACAGCCTTGCCGGAGGACAGTTTAAAAAAAAAGGCAATACAGTCTTGTGTGTGGCCAGTCTTTTTATAAGGATACAGTCTTGTGTGTGGCGAGTCTTTTTATGGGGATACAGTCTTGTGTGTGGCGAGTCTTTTTGTGGGGATAGTCTTGTGTGTGGAGTCTTTTTTGGGTGATACAGAATTATGTGTGGAGTCTTTTTGTGGGGATACAGAATTATATGTGGCGAGTATTTTTATGGAGATACAGAATTATGTGTGGAGAGTAGTTTTATGGAGATACGAATTGTGTGTGGAGAGTAGTTTTATGGGAATTCAGACTAATATATGGAGAGTATTTTTATTGAAATACAGTCTTGTATGAGGACAGTATTTTTATGGGAATACAGATGGGTGAATAGTGTTTTATTACATACAAAGACAGCAAGTGAAATGGTTTGCCCACTTAGAGAGAATGCCTTGTGACACCATACCATACAAAGCATACATGGAAAGAGAAGAAGGACGTAGAGCACTGGGTAGACCAAGAGCAAGATGGAAGGATAACATCAGAGAAACTCTACAACAGCACGATGTGCCTATGGTCGAGGCAGCCAGAAGAGCTAGAAACAGAACTTTTTATCTCCCTCGACACCCACAAGAGGAAGTAAAAGAGGAAGTGAAGAAGAAGAAGAATAGTGTTTAAATAGGAATCCATATGTGGGGACGGTGTTTGTTGAATTACAGATGCGGAGGCTCTTTTTATTTCAGTACAAAAATTAGACAGTTTTTGTGTGTGTGGGAATCCAGACATGGGGTGAACTATGTTTATACGTGAAAACAGATGATTTGTTTTTATGTGAATACGGATGTGAGGGACATTGTTTTTATGTGAATACGGATGTGAGGGACATTGTTTTTATGTGAATACGGATGTGAGGGACATTGTTTTTATGTGAATACGGATGTGAGAGACATTGTTTTTATGTGAATACAGATGTGAGGTATGTTATGGGTGTCGTGTGTGTGAACAGATTTAATGGAATACAGATTTGTGTGTGGACATTTTTTAAGGGAAAAAACTTTGTTTGTAGGACACGTACTCACGTTGGTTGGACCTTTATGATGTTTAAAAGGTCTGGATATTTTTGAGGATGAGATTCTGCGAAGTGTTTTAGAAATCTGAAACTGTTTGAGGAGAGCACATGGTTTAGAAATCTAAAACTGTTTAAGTGTGAGCTTTAAAGGATGATACAGAAATCTTAACTTGTTTAAGAGTCAGCACATGGTTTAGAAATCAATCTGAAATTGTTTGAGAGTGAGAACATGGTTTAGAAATCAATTTTAAATTGTTTGAGAGTGAGAATATGGTTTAGAAATCAATCTGAAATTGTTTGAGAGTGAGAACATGGTTGAGAAATCAATCTGAAATTGTTTGAGAGTGAGAACATGGTTTAGAAATCAATCTGAATTTGTTTGAGAGTGAGCTTTGTAGAACATGGTTTAGAAATCAATCTGAAATTGTTTGAGAGTGAGAACATGGTTTAGAAATCAATTTTAAATTGTTTGAGAGTGAGAATATGGTTTAGAAATCAATCTGAAATTGTTTGACAGTGAGAACATGGTTGAGAAATGAATCTGAAATTGTTTGAGAGTGAGCTTTGTAGGACATGGTTTAGAAATCTGAAGCTCTTTAAGGGTAACGCTTAAAAGGACATCATCCTGTATGAGGATTAACATCTAAACACAGCTTTCATGACGTGGAACAGGGACAACGAATTATGTCTCAAATGATTGTTGTATTACAAACGATCATCCTAATTTTTTCACCTTTTTTTGCCCTGTACAAATGTTTTTAAAATATACTTTTTTCGAAATTTTGTTAAAAAGAAATGCATCTTTTTAAATTTCTTAAACTCTGCCCTGAGAAACTAGAAGAAGAGAAGAAAAGGCAGAAAAAATGTGGAATCTTAGTCAGTCCAGGGGTTGAAACCATTGACCTCCGAGCAAAAGACAAGTCAGCTAAAGTGTCATTGTGACTCCAAGGTAACCAGAAATACAGATTTTTAATAGTCATTATTTTGTGCAACAGTGATTTGCGAGACTAGTAATCACTAAATACAAATGGAGCAAAGAAATAACTGCTGTCCTTCTCTTTGACCAAGAAAACCAAGGTTTTGATGACACAGACCATCAGTTTATTATTGTGTGTTACAATAACAAATTTATCAGTTTTTTCAACCCCTAAAAATATCTGTTAAATATTAAAAGAAAATGTCAGTATAATCATAACCCAGCACATCTATAGACCATGCAGTTGCAACCTGTAGCAAAGCTGTTTTGTGGGTGTATTGGGCATGCCCAATGACATCATGTCATCAGAAACACGTAAAAGTCGAATGAAGTGACCGAGTTAAATCCCAATGTCTTTTTAACTTGTTCCTGTTAGTGTTGCTTTTGCTTGTCCATATCTTTTGTTATATCAGTACACTTTTTAACTCTTGAGGTTTGTTCACTGAAGGACAACCTGTTGAAGAAGGGGAACAAATTCCAACAGTGCTGCACATTCTTTTGAGTTAGTTACCGCAGTCCAACTTGATGGCTGATAGGACACCCTATGACTTCTGTATTCCTGTGCGGGGGAACCACCCAGAAGGTCTGTCACTTCCCCACATGATGAAACCAAGCAATTGAACAGATTACAATCCTGGCAAAGCCAGCCAGCAGCATGCACACACATTGGATGTATAAGTCGGCAGAGGGGCCAAAGCCACCAGTCTGCCCCTAGGTTGCAGTTTATCATTGTTTTTAGTGGTAACTTACAACATATCAGCAGCTTCATAAGCATTACTGCAAAAGACACCATCAGATCTGTGGCAGTAGACCTCTCTCTGTTTTCTCAATATACAAGGTCCGACAATTAGGTCATGAGACTAATTCCATAACAAGTTCAAATAACCAACAGTTGAAAGATATAACCTGTATTTAATTCAAAGTAAGCCCCTTGCGCATTGATACAGCAAGTGGCACGATCTAACAAACACTGGATCGACCTTTTTAGTTCCTTCTGTTATGGCCCTTAAAGTTGATGTTATGGCCCTTTGGATGTCATTAGTATCGTCAAATCAGCAAGCAACTTTTTTTGGGGCCAAGTCTTCCACTAAAATCTTATGAATGGTCTCTATTAACACTAAATTCATCTACCATCGTCCTCACAGTCAAACAACGATCTTCTTGTACTCGTTCTCGGAATTTTGCAGTGATTTCCTTATAACGAACAGAAATTGAGTGTTTAGGTCTAGTTGCATTAGTAATCATTTCCACACCACTTTTGAATTGTGAATACAAGCTGAAAATCTGTGCACGAGATAAACAATTATCCCCATAAACTTGTCGCACAAATTCAACTGCTGCAATGGCGCTTTTTCTGAGCTTTAAACATAATTTAAAGTTAGCTTTATTGCTCCATGCTGATTACTTAACAATGCACCACTGACTGGGTTAACAAAATGGCGGCTAGTTGTCTGCTTATCGGTTGGCGATAAAAAGTTTCCAGATCATAGACGAAGGTTGCCTCTTTGGATTCCATGCTGTGATTTATAGACGGCATTTTTGTCTTAGCCATAATAAAATCAGTTTTATTACT